CCAATCAGAGCAGACTGTGCTTGTCTGAAGGAGGGACTTTGTAGAAAACAAAGCGTTTGAGAGAGGCGGGGCATAGAGGACCTACAATAATGTACAGTATTTGAAAAATAATGTGTTTTTTGAACATTAAAGCATGTCAACATATTCTGTTACACCAAATACACAAAATAATGATCTTTAAAACAGCATCATATGACCCCTTTAATAGAAAGCACATCAGTAATATACCATATTTCCAATCACAGTATGCGAATAATGTGCCGTCCATGCAAAACAAACCTCTCTTTAAAGATCAAATGTGCATGTTCTGTTTGAACCCAACAACCTTACTAGTGGCTTCTTTACCTGTCCTCGTTCTTAAAGACGAACTTCCTCAGCTTGAGGTCTCTGAGGACCAGGCCGTTGTCGTGGCAGTGCGCCACAGCTGATGCTATCTGATGGAAAAGTCTGGCAGCCTCTTCCTCTCGCAGCTTCTTGCAAGTGCGAACGAAAGAGTGCATGTCGCCATGGCTCCTCTCGAAGAACACGTACGCTCGCGTATCCCCCAGAAGAATCTCCACTATCTGGTTAATGTTCTCATGGGTTCCCAGCACGAAGTAAGCAGCCAAGGACTCTTGGTATCGACTGATATCAAACACCTGGAGGAGAGAGAGCATTTTGAATTCAATTAGAAGCCATCATCGATTCCCCAACAGAGTGCAAAAGTATTAGCCCCCCAAGACAAGAGCCCTGCTATTGGCATCTTCAGAGACAATGCCTAATTCTGAAACAAAAGAACGGAAATCCATGCAAAGGCAAGTCGAAAGGCATTACACCTCTGCTGCATTTCCAAGTCCCCAAAACGCACACTGAATTTTGATGTTGCTTAGTAACAGACACCTAAAAGAGAGAGACGGGCTAAATATAACATGACAGCGGTGGACATCGGAGACCGTTCTCTCATCAGAAGATAAGAGGTTCTTACTAATGGCTCTCTGCCCATGTCAGCCCATTCAAAGTGTCTTATGTTTCAAAGTCATGTGGACTTGCACGCATGAATGCATGGCTGTATGCAAGCATGCACACACACTTACTTCAGGGGTATTCCCACATGCTTTTTTGCACGTGACTATAACTCATCACTTGATGTCATTGTTGATGAATCACAAAAGAAAAGCCATTCATTTGATAATGCATCAATAGGCACCTCAAAAATGAATGCAGTAAAGCATATGCATGTCTCACATACATCCCTATCTATAGCTGATGCAATTGCATGAGTGTTCCGTTACAAAATGACATGGATTCGTGTCTTTCTTACCTTGCACACGAGCTCTTCCCCACTGTGCAGGTGGGTGGCTCTGAAAACGTGGTCTCCCTCAATGGGCTCCAACAAAAGGTAATTTCCAATGCAAGAAATGCAGTGAGAGGAGTCAGGGGTCTCAGGGGGGCTGGGAGATCCTAAATTGGGACTGAAACTCTGGTTAAATTCTGCAGTCCTTAGACAAGATAGCTCCTCAAAGTCGTGTGCTTTGTGCCTCGATCTCCCATAACGCGAAATGTTAATGGGACTGGATCTCTGTATGTTCATGAGTATAGGAGGAGGTTCGTCCAGATCAGGAGGGTTCAGACGGTCTTGGAGGGAGGGAGGGGGGAGTGAATGACAGACAGATGCCCCCTATTTAACACTGGGCATGAAGGCAGCGGCGATTCCCCTCGACTGTAATGATGATCTTCTGCATGTGCGTTAATTGCACTGACAATGTGGCGTCATTTGAGAACACATGCAATGACGTGCATGCAGGAATTGTGACCTCTGTGCTCAGCGTGCCCTCAAAGAACAGCACGGTTTGGTTGCACGAGCCGAAAACGCGTGAATCGGCGCGGTGTAATGTAAAGGTTGTGACGTCACGGTCGATGCAGCGCAGCAGGTAAAGAATGTTTTTTTTTTGCATTAAATTAAAAGGAAAGAGTGCCAGCTGGGTTTAGATATCCTGAGAGGGCGCTCCGTGTTCATTCGAGCGGGTCTCCACGCATCTACCAAATATGGCTAGGAAAAATTTGCTCCAGGTCGCGAGCCGCCTTTTGTTACGCCTGGGAAGTCGATGTCCTCTTCTCGAGCAACCAAACTCCGACGATCTCCGGCGCTTGGATCTGATTTGGACAAAGGCAAGAGGGGACGGCCGACGTTCTCCCCGGGCCTATCCCTTCTTTCAGCAACAAGACACCATTATCATCATCATCATCTTCTTCTTCTTCTTCTTCTTCTTACTTATGTGGCTGGGAACCTACTCCATTGAACGCGCGGGGTCAGCTGCACGCACTGACTGACTGACTAAGCTCGCGGGACTGACTGGAGCTCTCCACGCGCACGACCAGCCCCCCTGACGTCACGGCCAAAACGCCCTCCTATTGGCCGCTCGCTTGATGCTGACACATCCACAGTCTTGCAAGCGAGCCATGCAGTCATGCGAGATAACTGTTGTCCTAGGAATTTAAATTGAAGCACCCTAAATTATGAGTCGATATTGTGAATTCTAGGGGGGAAGTGTTAGGATTAAATGTCGGGTGGTTTGTGCAAAAATGACTTTCAAACTCTGATTAACTGCAATGCCACGATGATTAAGTATTGAATATGTGTGTGTATAAATACATTTCTGTAGTCGTTTTCAAATGATGGTTGATTTTGCGCATTTATCTTAAAGGCGTTTAAACAAAATGTTTCAAACGAAATTTTCTTAAATATTAGAGATGTGTACTTCTAGTACTTTGTACATGCACTATAATTCTGCTGGAACACTTTTATTAGGATGAGTATCTATATCATAATAAAAAAAATTCCATTTTGCCTTTATTAAGATAGGATATGATTTTTGCGCATTGATTGTCATTTGTATAACCACAGTTTTACTACAAATACCATGGTTAAACTATGGTTCGTGTAACAAGTGTAGCAAGACCATGGTTAATTTGTGATTACCATGGTTTAACTGTAGTAACCATGGTTTTTTGGTTTTATTTGTAGTAAAACCATGGTTAATTTTCATAAGGGTCAGCGCACTGCCCACTAGGTTATCGGCGCAGACATGTATGCGATTTGTATTTGCGAGTGTCGACTATATTTTGCCCATTCGAGCTAACTTGTAGACAAACTTTTATTTAAAGGGGTCATATGATGCGATTTCATTTTTTCCTTTCTCTTTGGAGTGTTACAAGCTCTTGGTGCAGAAAGAAGATCTGTAAAGTTGCAAAGACTAAAGTCTCAAATCCAAAGAGATATTCTTTATAAAAGTTAAGAGTCAGCCACGCCTACCAAAAACGGCTCGTTCTAACACGCCCCCCCATGTCTACATCACGATGTGGGAAGATTTGCATAACGCCGCCCAAATGTTCACGCAAAGAAAGAAGGCGTACCTTTTATTCTCGCTGTAGTATTGTTGTTGCCGCCGCCATGTCGTGAAGACGCTGTGTGTTTCGTTGTGAAAGCAAAACTACTTTGTTTGGTCTTCCAAAAGAGGACGATATCTGCTTCGTCATGCTTGGAGATGATCCGTGCTGGCCGCCGAGGAAATACTTCAACTTCGCGCTGTCGATCGCCGGATCGGCTTTCACCGTGGACGAAGCGGAGTCCAGCCCGGGGTCGTCACATGTGGTTGCGGCAGGCATCACAATATGGTAAGGGTCGTAACATTTCCGTCACACGCTTGAGGTATTCGGCCAATCACTGGATAGCTGGCCAATCAGAGCACACCTCGCTTTTTCTGACCGATAAGCTTTGTAAAAATCGACGCGTTTCAGAAAGGCGGGGCATATAGAGGAGAAACAATAATGTACAGTATGTGGAAAATAATGTGTTTTTTGAACCTTAAACCGCATAAACACATTTCATTACACCAAATACACCAAATAATGTTCTTTTTAGCAGCATCATATGACATCTTTAACCTTTCATCTAGTACTTGTGTTTTGCACATGCACTGTCCCATACTGATTCTAACCAAATCGGTTGCAATGGTCACACACTCACGCAAAAACGATTTATATTCACGACGCATGCATCCATTTTTTACGCATTTTAACTGACTTCCTACCCTAATCTAGCTTTTGTTAAAATTTTCAACCAGCTCTTGTGTTTTGTACATGCAGTGTGCAATGATTCTAACAAAACGCTTAAGCAGCAATCGGTTGCTATAGTTAGCTATCTGCTGCGCAAAAGCAATTCGTAATTGCGAGTGTCTATATTTATTCTATAACTTGTGTTTAACTTTTCATCTAGGTAAGGCAAGTTTATTTATATGCCCATTTTGACTAAAATGTAGATGACTCTAACTTGTGTTTAACTTTTCATCTAGGTAAGGCAAGTTTATTTATATAGCACATTTAATACACAATGGTAATTCAAAGTGCTTTACATAAAAGGAATTAAGATAATCTTAAAAAAATAATCACAACAATAAAAACTAAATCTAGTAATTGTGTTTATCCCATAATGCTAACAAAAGCATTCAAGCGGCCATCGGTTACATGCTCACGTGATTCATTTTCACGAGCATCCATATTTCACGCATTCGGACTGACCTGTATCCTAATCTAGTTTTTGTTTCATTTTTCATCTAGTGTTTGGACATGCGCTTTCTGATACTACTAATCCTAACAAAAGTGCTCAAGCAGCGATCGGTTGCGATGACTAGCTGTTCACGCTAATTGAATTCGTGAGCATCTACATTTCACAAATTCGGAGTAACTTTTAGCCTAATCTTACTTTTAACTTTTTATCTAGTACTTGTGATTGTAGCCTACAAGCACTGTCCAATTCTAATAAACGTGATCGAGCATTGATCGGTTGCTATGGTTACGTGCGGGAATGCAATATTTTTTCGCGAGCATCTACATTTTGCATATTCGGACTAACTTGTATCCTGATCTAGCTGTTGTTTATTTTTTCATCTAGTGTTTGTGTTTGCATACTACTGATCCTAACAAAAGTGCTTGACTAGCGATCGGTTGCTATACCTGCTCACGCGAATTGTATTTGCGCGTGTCTATATTTCAGCCATTCAGAGTAACTTGTGGCCTAATCTAACTTTAGTTTAACTTTTCATACTTGTGTTTTTATATGTTTACTAATTTTACTAGTTTTTACGTTTACTAATCCCAAACGTAAGCAGCGAGTTGCTATGGTCATCTTCGCACGCGAATGCGATTTATATTCGCTAGCATCTGTATTTGGCATATTCAGCCTAAATTTGTATGCTAACCTAGCAAATGTTTTTTTATGGTTACGGATTTGTATTCACAATTATATTTTGCACATTTGAATCCTTTTTGTTTATGAAAAGTAAAAAAGCTAATATAACAAATATAATGACAAAATCCACAAAAAACTATTGTTCTAAAATGTGTAAGAATGAGCAGGTAGCCTATATCAAGCCTTTGACCGGTCATGCATATACTGCAGGCAGAAGTCTGAAATGGAGTTGTTGGCCAGATGGTGACTGGGTTAAATCCCCACATGTTAACAGCAGGTCTGTTCCATGCAGAATTCTCTACTGTGTTTCTGAACAAAAACCAGATGTGTGGACATGCTGTAGATTACATTAAATCTGGGTAGATTATATTCATATAGCCAAAAACATGCAGGCTAAAGGACATGTCCTGATCATATCCATCCTGAAATATTAGGTTATATAAAAATAAAAATACAAACAACAAAAATATATTAAACATATACAGTATATTCATCCATAATCACCCAAGACCTTAACAAAATACCTGATGCTGTTGTACTCTGCAATTTCAGGATAATGAATTCATACTTAAATTTGACTCATGGATCTGCCACATTATTTCATAGCAGATACATCATGTACTCTTTCATTTGGTATGATATATTGATGAAGTGATGTAAGTTTTATGATCTGAGAGTTTGACTGATGAATGACAAAATGCCTGCTGTCTGTTATGTCTGCATATAATCTGTTCCAGTTGTATCAAGTCTTGTTATTGTTGTTGCACAATGTCATGATTTGTACAAGTTGGTGTTGAATTTCAAAACTGATTACATATACTGGAGGAGAACATTAAGGAATCAAGGGGATTTTTTGAATTTGTGTGTTTTGGATGAATGACATTGTGCCTCCCACTGGTACATTCACAAAGTGTTGTATTGTGTGTAACAGTGAATGGTGGGTAGAGTGAGATATTTATGTACCCCACGGATGACATGTTATATGGATAGTTCACCCAAAATTATAACTGTTGTATTCTACTCACTCTCATGTAATTTCAAACCTATATGATTTACTTTCTTTCTTTTGTGGAACACAAAGTGAGGAATGTTGACACCTCTCTCATCTACAGAATGAAAGTGCATGCAAACCAAAGGCTGACGAGCTCTAAAAAGGACAGACAAAGCATCATAAAAGTATTCCATGCAACTTGCATTCTATATTGCATGCTATATGATTTTTAAAGCCATACAATAGGTTTTTGTGAGGAGAAGGTGGTAATTTACTTAAAATCTTGTTAAAAATGTGTGGTCACTTTTCACCTTCACCAGGGTTATTTAAAGGGGTCATATGATGCGATTTAAATTTTTCCTTTCTCTTTGGAGTGTTACAAGCTCTTGGTGCATAAAGAAGATCTGTAAAGTTGCAAAGACTAAAGTCTCAAATCCAAAGAGATATTCTTTATAAAAGTTAAGAGTCACTTTTAAAGCCATACAATAGGTTTTTGTGAGGAGAAGGTGGTAATTTACTTAAAATCTTGTTAAAAATGTGTGGTCACTTTTCACCTTCACCAGGGTTATTTAAAGGGGTCATATGATGCGATTAAAATTTTTCCTTTCTCTTTGGAGTGTTACAAGCTCTTGGTGCATAAAGAAGATCTGTAAAGTTGCAAAGACTAAAGTCTCAAATCCAAAGAGATATTCTTTATAAAAGTTAAGAGTCAGCCACACCTACCTAAAACGGCTCGTTCTAACACGCCCCCACATGTCTACGTCACGATGTGGGAAGATTTG